ATGGGATTCCACATGAAATCATCATAAATCATTCATTTTTGTTCAAGTATTTGAGAAAAAGGGAATAAATCATCAAGGGATCAAGATTCGGACTTGAACGAGCTTCCGGGAGGTCAAAAACAGTGTTCGGGGCCAAAACGGAGCGGAATTGGGCCAAAATCACGAAACAGCCGCGAAGCCCAACGGACCAAGGCCTCCAACTTGGACGCTTGGCCAAGTTGGACGCTTGAAGTTGGACGCCTGGGCTAGATTGCAATCCAAGAAAGACACGTGGCAAAATCTGGTTGGCCGGAGCAGCTCAAGCGTCCCGATCTGGACGCTTGGACTTGGACGCTTGGACTTGGACGCCTTGGCTTCGTTCCTATAAATACAGCACGATTCTCCCCATTCAACACATCACTTTCATCCCCTCTCTCGGGATTTGAGCTTAATATTCCATTTCTAAATACTAGTTTGGCATTTTGGTAGTTTTAGAATAATTTTTGGAGAAATTCTACTCCCGATCTGTTCTGTTCCGCTTTTACGGAAGTTGTAAGTTTACGCTATTTAATAAAATTCTGTTTTAATTTATGTTTGCATAGTATGAGTTAGTGTCCGGATCTCTGGGTCCGGACTAGTTTGGTTGTTTTTTTATGTTAAATTAATGTTGGAATGGTTGATCTATTGTTCTTGCCTTATCTGATTAATTAATATCGGAAGATTTAATTGGCCATTTATTGAGAAAATATTGTATGCCAAAAGGCTATGATATTCAAGTACAACGGATTAAGTACAAATCTAGAAATGGATGAGTAGTAATAGAAATATTATTATTCCAACTACTAATTTAATATGATAAAATAAATCCAAATGATGTCCAGACCCTAGGACCAGATCCATACTTGTACTATGTAAACTTAATTTATTATTTTTACTCTGCCTTTTTTATAGTCGTTCCGAGAAGACTTTCATAAACCAATCCTAATCTTCGCCTAATTAGAGTAATTAAACTAATTCCCTTCGTCCACTCTTCGAGAGATACGACACTCGGAGAGAAAACTAACCCTTTACTGGGAAGGTTTACTACCCGAAAAACTACAACTGTCAGTATTCTCGGCCAAGTGGGGGTAAAAGAGAGGGAAGGCTGGCTGTTCTTTTGGAGGTATCTCTTGGGTGTTTATGTAGAGAATAAGAGAGAGTTGATTGAGTTAAGTGTGGGCCAGGGCTGTGCAGCTTTGTTGGGGAACAAAAGGGGGGGAGAGGGGCAGGTCTCTTACATGGAATAAGAGAGGGGTTTTGGCTGGTAATTGTGGGTTTATTGTGTGAAATAAAGGAGTGGTTTTGGCCTGGTATCCTTGGCTCTCAAATGAGGGAATTGAAGTGTTTTGTTTGGTTGTGGTTTGTGCAAAGAACTTCTGCCAGGGGTGTATTAGGGGTGATATGGGGTTCATGGGATGCCCTAAGTTTGGCCAAAGAAAGAAAGGAAAAAGGGAAATAACAACAAACAAAAGGTTTTGGTTTACACACTCTTATTTTCTGCCATAGGCTAAAAATAAGTGTAGGAAAACATTATTTTGAAAGGAATTAAATGACAAGGAACTTTGGATGTTTAGGGAAGGAATGGGGGGTATTGGTTCGGCCTAGGTGGGGTGTAGGACAGCCCTAGTGTTGGTTTAGGCTTTAGGGAAGGGCGAAGGAGTGGATTCAACCCTAATAACGTCACCACACTTTGGATTTATTCCCCTAATCTGTCTTTCCTTTTGTGGGCTAAGGAAAGTCTCCGTTGATGCTCCCGGATATCTAACATCCTCCCCTTCTTCGAAAGAGTTTGCCCTCAAACTCGAGTTTTCTTTAGGCTCTTGGTAGGGGACGGACTTGAACTTGCGTGCATCAAAAACTTCAATCATGCTTTCTCTCAGTTCTCGGGGAATGAAAATCTGCAAATGCCTCTTTGGGCACTTAGAATAAATGTCCTCACTTCCTTGTACTCCATGACTTCCCTACAAATTAAATACACAAACATTGGCACCAAAGGCCGTTAGTGATAACAAGGTTCTAGGATGGACATTTTGGGAGAAGTGGTTGTGCGTGGCTTTTTGAGAGGACACAAGGGTATATCCGGCTCAAACAATGGTTCAAAACTCAATTTTTTGAACCTTGAAAGGTTTTGTTGGGCAAAAATGGAGAGTATGGAAGAGGGTTACTGATACATCCTCGGGTACCACTACGGAACCCGAAGTCCTTAAACAAATCAACGGAATAATGTCTAAAAGTTATGATCCTTTCTGGAATGAATTTCTCACTACCAAACCATACAACCCAACCATAATAACCTTGGTCCCATCCCCACCTTAGTTGGCCGAAACTACACCCCAAAAATCAATCCCAAAACCCTTTTCAAAATTCATACCCTATTGTTCTCTTTCTCCTTTCTTGTGGCCGAACACACACCCCTCCCCCACATAATCCCACCTTTTTTTAGCTAACATAAACAACCAAAAAAAACCATATTAACTCAGCCCATCCCTGCCTAAACATTGAGCCGAAAACAAGAAGCCAAACACCTCAAAATCATGCTCCCAACACCAACCAACATATGGCCCTACCTTGTCTCCTATAGTGGCCGAAATTCCAAGGTATAAAACACCAAAGGAAATTTCTCATCTTCTGACCTTGTAACCACCAAATTTCCCAAAATAATATTCCAAAATACTCTCATTTCACTTACTCCCTTTTTCCCCCTAGGTGGGCCGAAACACCCCATCCCAACCACCAATCCTTTACATCATATTATCCACCCCCTTTTGTCTCCTAAAGCTGCCAANCCTTGGCAACGAAAACACTTTTGGACTCGGCTACTTGATGAACTAGGTTTTGAAGGAGAAGGAGCACTTGGCGATGAAATAGGGTGCATGGTTTTGGGATTTTTAGGGCAGAGGGCCGTGGGGTTTTGGGCAGCAATGGGGGTGTAATTTGGTTGGCCTTGATGTGGTGGAAGGGGACGGTTCAAGGGGGACTTGCCTTTCTTGAGTTGAGCTTCCACTTTTAGGGCTAGCTTTGTTAAATCTTCAAGGCTTTCAAAATTTTGCAGCTCCACGGTGTTGGCTATTTGGGTGTTTAAACCAAATAAATATCTCACAAAGGTTTGTGAATCATTCTCTTGAAGATCACATCGCATCAAGAGTTCTTCAAACTCTCGGTTGTACTCTTCTACGGACTGATTTCCTTGTCGTAGGTTTTGAAGCCTAGCAAAGTTGTCCCTTATAAAATGAGTAGGAATGAACTTCTTCTTCAATAAAGCTCTCATCTTGGTCCATGTTTTAACAGCAGCCTTGCATTCTCTTTTGCGCTTGGTGGTAGTGTTAGTCCACCAAGTAGATGCGTAGCCTCTGAGTTTTAAGGCCACAAGCTTGACCTTCTTATCCTCCGATACCTCGGTATAGTCAAAGACACGTTCAATCGTCTCTAACCACTCTATCAAATCATCGGGGTCATCTTTGCCATCAAAAGTTGGGATTTCAACTTTGAAATCAGTAGATGACTTCTCTTGGTTGTTTCTCCTTGTGGGACGAGGATGAGTTTCTGACTGGGCTTCTTCCTCTTGCTCATCTTCACTTTCTTCAGGGGTATTCATCATTTTCATTTTGAATTTGGTGAGTTGAGCAATCTGCTTAGCCAAGTACTCCACTTGGGTCTTGAGTTCTGTATTCGAGGCCCACAGCTCTTCATTGGTGATGATTACAGAGGGGTTTGACATCTTGAAGGGTGTGAAAGAAGAGGAAGAGAATGGGGCAGTAGCTAGAATGGTAAGAAATGATGGGTGGTTTTTAGGGCTCTCTTTGGCCGAAAATACCAAAGAAGGAAGAGAAAAGAGAGATGGTGTTGAGGCTGATCTTTATGGTAGTAACAAAGAGATAAGGGGGATGGTTTTTTGAAGGGGTGTTTTTGGAGTGGTCTTGGTCGAAATAACCAAGGTGAAGGGAAAGGTTTTTGGAAGTGTAATTGGCCCTTAGGGATGTTGAAACACAATGCTTTGATACCAAATGTTAGATCTACGCTCCGGGTTTGTCGGTATTAAGCTCGGATTTAAGAAACAAGCTCCTCTTGCTGGATGGGTTAATAGTCGACTATCAGTATGGTGATAATCGATTATATAGGACTGCAGGAATTTCCCTTGATGTATGATAATCGATTGTCCAAGTAGGATAATCGATTGTCGAGTGATTCAGTTTCTCAGGAGGAGCTTCAGAAGTTTAGGAGAAATAAACAATCGATTTACAAGAAGTGATAATCGATTATGGAAGGCTGCAGATTTTCTCAGAATGAGTGATAGTCGATTATCTTAAAGGGATAATCGATTATTACTACCTGCAGATGTTTCCAATGGAACTGATAATCGATTGTGGGGAGTGATAATCGATTATTTGGCAGTTATTCTAGATAGGAAGAAAGGCGTTTTTGCGGGGAATGGGTTGGGAATATATGGGGCTGATGAGGGAGTTCTTTTGGGTATTTTTAATGGAAGATAAGAGTAAGATTAAGAGAAGAAATGGGGAGGTATGAAATGGAAGAAAATCAGGGATGGATAAACCAAGTTGGTGTTTAAGAGATATTACACACTCTTATCCTAACTCGGAGTTTGAATCTAGAATTTAATTAAGATATGACACACTTAATCAAATATCTAGAACCTAAAACTCACACTTAAGATAACCACTCTTAAGATATAGAATTAGGAATTTGGCTAAAATAGCATCACACTATTTTAATAATACTCAAAGAGTAAAAGATTTTCAATATTCAAAGGTTTTGGTTTACACACTCTTATTTTCTGCCATAGGCTAAAAATAAGTGTAGGAAAACATTATTTTGAAAGGAATTAAATGACAAGGAACTTTGGATGTTTAGGGAAGGAATTGGGGGTGTTGGTTCGACCTGAGTGGGGTGTAGGACAGCCCTGGTGTTGGTTTGGGCTTTAGGGAAGGGCGAAGGAGTGGATTCAACCCTAATAACGTCACCACACTTTGGATTTATTCCCCTGATCCGTCTTTCCTTTTGTGGGCTAAGGAAAGTCTCTGTTGATGCTCCCGGATATCTAACATCCTCCCCTTCTTCTAAAGAGTTTGCCCTCAAACTCGAGTTTTCTTTAGGCTCTTGGTAGGGGACGGACTTGAACTTGCGTGCATCAAAAACTTCGATCATGCTTTCTCTCAGTTCTCGGGGAATGAAAATCTACAAATGCCTCTTTGGGCACTTAGAATAAATGTCCTCACTTCCTTGTACTCCTTCATGACTTCCCTGCAAATTAAATACACAAACATTGGCACCAAAGGCCGTCAGTGATAACAAGGTTCCGGGATGGACATTTTGGGAGAAGTGGCTGTGCGTGGCTTTTTTGAGAGGACACAAGGGTATATCCGGCTCAAACAATGGTTCAAAAATCAATTTTTTGAACCTTGAAGGGTTTTGTTGGGGAAAAATGGAGAGTATGGAAGAGGGTTTCTTTTGGGGCAGTAAGGTTTTTGGGATTGATGGATAAAGAGTAAACTTCTTAGCACCCACCATAAATGAGTACGTATTAGCAAACCCGTCATACATAACTCTCCGGTCAAATAACCATGGTCGCCCGAGAAGAATATTACAAGCTCTCATGGGTATTACGTCACACCACACGTCATCTTGAAAGGACTGCCCCTTTTAAAAGAGACCAAGCTACGTGTATTCACGTGTATTCCCTCATCTAGATTCAACCACTGAATCTCATAAGGCTCCGGATGTGGTAACGTCTCTAATTTGAGCTTTTCCACCGCTGTTTTGGAAAAAACATTGGCACTACTTCCGCTATCGATGATCATTGAGCACACCTTCTTTTGAACGGTGCAACGGGTATGAAAAATACTCTCTCGGTGTCCGGACTCATCCCGGGCAGTCGCATGACTAATTGTCTTTTGAATGACCAAAAGTTCACCTTCGTCGGGGCCAACAATTTCCTCTTCTTCTTTTGGCTCTCCTTGAACCCAAAAGGGGTTTGTTTCTTCTTCTTCACATTCAACAATAGCCATGATCTTCTTGTTTGGACAATCACTAGCATAGTGACCAATGCCTTGGCAACGAAAACACTTTTGGACTCGGCTACTTGATGAACTAGGTTTTGAAGGAGAAGGAGCACTTGGCGATGAAATAGGGTGCATGGTTTTGGGATTTTTAGGGGAGATGGCCGTGGGGTTTTGGGCAGCAATGGGGGTGTAATTTGGTTGGCCTTGATGTGGTGGAAGGGGACGGTTCAAGGGGGACTTGCCTTTCTTGAGTTGAGCTTCCACTTTTAGGGCTAGCTTTGTTAAATCTTCAAGGCTTTCAAAATTTTGCAGCTCCACGGTGTTGGCTATTTGGGTGTTTAAACCAAATAAATATCTC